CAATGTCTTTTTGTTTCTGTTGTTGCTTGTATATATTAGGGTCTCTAACAGAGGTGTATGTTATTGGAGGTCACCCTCTTAAAATTGTGTTATATGTTTTCTGATTTTGGGGGTATATGAAACTCAGGAATGATGCACATACAGGGAGAGCAAGTAAAATAAAGGGTTTGGGTAGAGGAGTGGGGACAGTGGTGGTGGGTAATAGGGAGATGATGTCAAGGAGTCCAGGCAGAAACAGAATGTTTGGGAACTGATTGTGGTCACACTTGTACAATTCTGCTTGATGTGATTAAACTACGGAATGGTATGATATCTGTATTAAATCCCAATTAATAATAAACTCCAAAACAAAATAAGTAAATAAAGTTTCCTGACTGAGAGAAGAACAAAGAGATCTGTCTGGGGAAAATGATCTAGGTGGAGGGTCTAGCTGCAAGGGTGGAGAGAATTCATCTCTCACATCCTTTGGTGGAGAGGCCAGTCCCAGGATAAGGACATCATGGCTGGCAAAGTGGAGGGGACGTGAAAAAGAGGAAGACCCTAAAGAAGATGGATTGGCACAGTGGCTGCAACCATGGACTCACATCTAACAATTGTAAGGATGGGGCAGGGCTGGACAGTGTTTTATTCTGTTGTAAACTGGGTTGTTATGAGCTGAAACTGACCGGAAAACACAACGACAAGAACGACATGAGTTTGGAATCTATGACAATGCCTTTTTTCTTCTTTTTATTGTTTTATTCCAGCCATGAATGGGCTTTGCTGATGCTGATGGGTAAGTGGTGAACTGGGATGCTGCTGGAGTCTCTGTGCAGGCCTACAGTAAGGCGCACTGGACTTCAACAAGATGGTCCCCAGTCTACCGCCATGCAAGTGCACAATCTTATTCAAAGGGGGAAAAAATCCAAGGGGAGACTGGAATAAATGCCCACTTAAAAGTCTGATTTTCCTATAACTATTGCAATATTTCCTTGAGTGTTTCACTATCAGTTGAATATGAATTCCTCTTGATAAGTCCATTTCAAGAAAGAGTAGTATATAAAGTAGCTCATTACAGCTCTGTGGTGGAAAAGAGAAAACAGACCTTCTTGTCAGAAAACTGTGTATATATGTGCCCAGGGATCCCTGCATTTTGCAAAATAAGATAATAAGCGACCTGCCCGAGGACTATGAGTACACAATAACGTTGTCAGACTGTTCGCATAAAATTACTAGAAATTGGCCACCAAGTTCACCGAACACAAAGGAGTTCTCATCGCTAGAGGAAAGCAGAGGACGATATAGTAGGGAAGAAGAAAGAGATAGAAGATCTGCCACAGGATCACCTGAAGCAATGGGGCTGCGTTCAGAGGCAAAGGGCTTTTCTGCACACCGGTACAAGTCGTGCAGAGAGCAGACATGTGGCGCCCTGTCTACTTGAACTTCAGTGGGTCAATGCCACTTCCCTGGGGCGAGTTCCAGCTTCCCTGCCAGGAGGGGTCTATGTCACAAATACTGATGCGGCACACCTGGCATGCTGGGGGCCCTTTCTGATGACAGAATCAACCAAAGCTCGGGCCTTGTCCATGACAGGGGTATTTTCATCTTTTTTGTCTCCAGCTCCTCCTGGCTCAGAACTTTTTTTCTAGAGGTTCATCCAGCACACCATTTATTGTGGCCCTGTTCACTGTTGGATGAAGAGCTCTCTCTTCTGTCAGAACTCTGTCTGTTGGAAAAACCATTATTCCCAAACCATGAAAAGAACTTAATTTTCTTCTCATGTCAGCAGCAGCACGCTTTTCATAGAATCACCTTAAAAGAAAGGAAAAAACGTCCTCCGCCTGTATTGAAAGCTTCTGGTTGGCCTTCTTGGATAAGCCTCGGATTGCTAACCACCAGATCAGTAGTAGTTCCCATCCACGAGCTGCTCTGGGGGAAAATGTTGAGACTATTTTCTTGCTTAAAGGTTTTCAGCCTTTTGGGGCTCTGAGTGGGAATTGATTAAACGGCAAATGGCTTTGGTTTGGTTTTTTTATATTTCAGTCATAGTAAATATAGAGATTTAAAAAATACCACACCTGTCCCATTCTCTTCCCACACTGTTACCCACATTTACACACTGGAAATTAGGATTCCCCATCGGTGCATCCACAGGAGGAACAGAGAGCCTCTTAAGCTATCCTGTGTTTGCTGCATTTGGAATAGAGTGGAGCTGTGGCCCATTGCCTTTGGGCAAAGCTGCTGGATCCCCATCCTAGGGTGATTCTGCATCCTGAATCAGGCTCAGCTGAGAATTCAGCGAAGTTTGCAAAATGACAGGATGCCACTGAAGGCCCACTTCCTTTCTGTTCTTGGAGTTTTGCTTTATAAAGGGTGCACACACGTCTAGTACCGTTTCCTCCACCACTTCTCTACCCTCTCATCTACCCTTTTCCCAACCCCTTCGTCTACCCTATAAACATTCATAGAACCCATTTAAGGATTGCGAGAGTCAAGCCCTTGCAAAAATGTTTTCATCCTCAGGATTTTAGAGTAAAAACCCTCACCTCCCATGGCTTTCTCATCTCCTCTGTGTGTGAGGTCTGTAAATGAAGAATGTTCCACTTCCTTTTGGGGAGTACTCATATTCAGATGGCGACATATCGACTATGCACACATACGCACACCCCCTAGCTTCTACACAGAAATATCAGATTACTGAAGCCTAGACTGGACCAGGGAGCATATCTTTGGTCAATTATCTTCATTAACACTTGCATAGTTTCAAGTGTTCATAGAGGAAGAGGGAGGATTGAAGCCTACAATAGGAATGGGAAAGAACAAGCACAAGTATACTCATAACAATAAAAAAAAACCCAAACCTCCAATCCATCAGAGAAATGAAGTTACCAATTAGAATAAGTGATCCATGTTTTCCATATCCCACCACACAGCTCTATGTTATGTTCAGCAATAGTTCTGTACATTTCCCTAATGAAGCTCGTAATTGTGAGTCCTCTCTGTGAGTTTTGTGAGCTCAGGGCAAGGAACTATTACACTCGGCGGAGGGCTAGCATGCTGTGGGTGGGATATTGGTGTCAGAATGGGGTAAAGAAGGAAGGAGGGTGGAGACATACCTGACTGTTGTCTCATGGCAAGTGGCCTTGGACTAGTATGGAGTTCAAGTGCCTTTCGCATTGCATAACTACAGGAAGTGAGGTGTGGTTTGAAATAGAATCCTTTACTCATGTACTCCTTAAACGCTGCTTTTTAAAATCAGTGTATTCATTTTCCATCCACCCCTTTCATTCCTATATTAATAAATGAGTGTATTTTACCTTCAAGTACACAGGAAGTTGGAAGCTGCTTAAGGCTAGAGGGCAAACTCACAGTCAGGTCTTTGAGACAGGAAGCCAGTACACCTGGGTGGGCCCACCTAGGCCAGGTGAGTTTAATTCGGCCAATGGGGTCAACCAGTATCATTGACCAGGCCTCCCAGTGGAGGGCCTGAAAAGCCAGGGTCTGAAGCCCACCGAGCTGCTTTTACCAGCTACTCCTGGGCCAGCCTGGGGTCATTCCCTGGCCTCAGGACTCCACTGCGGGTGTGAAGTGCCCTGAAGGTACCTGCTGGGTAAAACCTGAAACTTCTAACCTTTATAAAACCCACTTGGAGTGAATTCTTTCTCGGGCAAAGTCAAGGACTGAGGTATTTCTAACTCAAGAAACCTAACAATTCCAGTTACCAGTGAGGTCTTCCTGCCAGGAAGTTATGGGTGTGAATTCCACCAGCCATTTCCCAGTCAAAGGTTTTACTAATACACTGAAGGTGAGGATGGATAATAGGAATTGGTCTCTGTATTCTAAAAGCTTAGGTTAAATGTCTAGAAATGAGACAAACCCTAGAAAGAATTATATTACAGAAAATGTCAAACAAATAAAGCAATAATAAAATGAGGAACTATAAGTGAAATTAAAACGTCATCTGAAGGTAAAGGTATGCTTTCAAGGGATAAGTAGAAAATATGCTAAACATTTTCAGTGGGTGGAAAGTTTGTGCACAAAGTTTAGACAGTTTTTTCAAAGACATTAAGAACACAATGTGTTTCTGAATGAGAAAATCCCATTCAAAGTCTGTAGACACTGAGAATCAAGGGTTCCTAAATAATCATCTCTCCCAATAATAAAAATCAGCAGAGAGACTTAGGAGAGGCCACTTCCAGAAGAATTGTCTTTAGCTCTGTATGAGATGATCAATTTCTGATGTCTAGCAGCCAAATTATGATTGAGCAATTGAGGGTCAGGATGAAAGCAGTTATCTGAATCTAAATAAAAATGACTATTGATTCAGATATGCTAATATGTTTAGGAACTGATCTAGTTCAGCCTCTTCCTTATCAAATGAGGGTAATGATTGCAAATAAGTGGTGACATGTTTAAATGCCAGCTGCATAAATTGCTTGTGTCTCTGTCTCCTAATATTTCCCAGCTTCAGTAAGAAAGTTAACCTGAAAGCAGTGTCCTAGGTAGATCGGAAGGGCTGAATCTTGGAGAGTGAAAGCCCAGTTAAAAAGCTGTGATAATGTTCCAAAAAATATTGGGCTAGTCTGTGTAGGTTAGATGTTGAGCTCTTAATTGTAAGTTTAGCCGTTCAAATCCACCATCTCCTATGATGGAGAAAGATGAGAAGAGGATTTCCAGCTCATTTCCATTCACAGGAATCTATAGGACAGAGTAGAACTGTCCCATAGAGTTTTCAAGGCTATAAATCTTTTATAAAAACACTGTCACCTTTTTTTCTTGAAAGGACTCTGAAGAGGTATGTCTAAACAGTGGTCCTTTCGGCTTGCAGATGAGAGCTTAAACACCCACCTTCACCAGGTGTTCTTAGATTAAAGCAGTCCTGAGCTAAAAAAAGGGAAAGAATTTAGCTCACATACTATGGCTCTCTTCCCCTTTGCTACTTTTGTCTGGCACTCTACAATAAATGAAGTATTTTCTAAGATTCAAGCCCCTAGTCCCGAGTTTAAGAACTCCCAACTTACCCTCCATGGGTAACAGCTTCGACGTTCCCCTTCTCCCACAAAGAACCACAGAATGGAAACTGAAAGTTGTTAGCCATTTCCTTAGTGCAAGGGGCGGGGATAAGTAATAATGGATTATGATTGGACTGCTGGGAATTTCAAGCTTGTTGGGAAATTCCCACTGTTCAGCAAAAGAGTTTCTCTTTCTTGCCATTTCCTGCAGGAAGAAAATAAGCAGAAATGGCAAAACAATGCCTTGTAGGTGGGTTCTTCTGACCCTGTTTTCCTTTCTACTTTTCTCACCATTACCCTCACACACCCTCCTTTCTGCCATTCCCTTCTCTGATCTCTCACACTGTCCTGGTGGCCGAGTGGTTGCTCCTTGGGCTGGTAACTTCAAGGTCAGCAATTCAAAGTGACCAACCTCTGGGCAGGAGAAAGACAGGGCTCTTTACTTCCTGTTTCCTGTTTGAACTGTGATAAGGGTGAGTTTATCTTGAATTTTTCCCTCACCTTTCTTACTCTTTAGTGGGGGGAGAGTTCTAAAGGAACATATGATTTTCTTTAATTGTCCAGGATTGCCTTAAAATTGTCATTTCCCTTTTTCACACCTCCCCACCCCCCTCGCTTTATATGTCCTTGGATCAGACGGATCATAGATGACTCAGACTACAGCTGACAGAAGCATGAAGGCAGAGAGAGCAGGGAGTCAAAGAGGAGGAAGAAAAGATGGCTTGTTCAAGTTTGAGTGTCTTAAAGACCAGAAATTCATTTTCACGTATGATCAGTTAGGATTAGAAGCAGTTTATTCCTTCAAGTGAAGGGGTTGGGTAATTCTTCTAGACCTTCTGAAACCCAAAACTTGCCTTATAAAGGACTGTAGGATTTCCCCAAGCTTATTGCAACACATACAGACATTATTTTACATACAGCGGACCCCTTGGTGTTTATTCATATGGTGTCATGTACTGGCCATTAATAAGTTCATGTTTGATGACACTGATTTTTTCCAGGAGACAATACACTGGTAGGTGTCTGTATTGAATCAAAATTATTTTTGTATCTCACAAGTGTCTTAAAGGTTAAATTGAGACCACTGCCTACCTTGCTTAGCCCTTTGTAAATTTCACAGCTTTCCCAATGAGATTCTCAGCAACTCCAATCTCCGCTGGCTCCTTGCTCATCTATCAGTGGAAAGCCTCCCCCTTTCATCCAGTGTCTGCCTTTGTCAAGCGCGGCAAACGAAACCGGGCTTGGTAACAGGTACGTGTAGGCTCTAGGCATGGGTTTGGTCTTCTGAGAAGCCAGGAGGCTCCTTAGAAAGGAGGACAGCTTGACTTTGATCATCTTTTCATAGGGACCAGTCCCCGGAGAAGGACAACGTCGTCGGAGGGCTATAGAATATAGGACGACCCTCACCAGATGGATTGACATAATAATGACCTCAACAGTGGACGCAGTAGTGAAGACTGCAGGGTCTTCTACATCGCATTGCTGTGCATTGAAGCTGACTGGATGGCACCTAAGAAAACAAAGCATCAGTGGAAAATTCTGGGAACCCTGGGAAGGTACCCATCCCACTCTGCGCTTCCAGTCCTTCACATCTTGCTGGCTGAGATGCAAATTCTTTGACTTGATGTCTCTACTCTGACGCTCTATGTATATTTAAAGTAGGATGTTAAGATCAAGGTGTTTTGAAAGAAAAAAATGGAGTTATTAAGAAGTCCATCTCATATGAACCAATTCTAAAATGTCCAAGCCCAATATTCCTTTCCTGTCCCCAGCCCCGTCTTTTCAGCCTCGTAAAAAACCCAGAGGACAACGTTTCATGTTCATTTCATATTTATTTGAATGTGTTAAGAAAGGTCTTGTTCTGCAGACATGATGCCAAAAGTGAGTGCAGAATGACAGAATTAATGGCTTTTTAGAGTAATAAGAAGAGAGAGAGCACACATGCAAAAAGTGTCATATATTTTTCAATGAAAATTGTTAGATTATTCCATCATGCGTGTGCTATGATATAAAAGGTTATAGCTATTGTTAGCTGCCCCTGAATCAGTCTCCATCTCATGGGACTCCATTCACAATGGAACAAAATCCTGCACAATTTTGTCCCAGCCCCTGGCTTGATGCCAACAAGACAAGGGTTCATTGTGATCCATGATGTTTTGCAGATTAATTTCCAGAAGGAGATTGTCAAGTCTTTCTTCCTAGTCTGTTTCCGTCTGGAAGCTTTGCTCGAACATTTTCAGGATGACAGTAACACTCAAGCTTCCACTGATGGACTGCACTGATGATGGCTGCGCAGGAGGTGCGCTGAGAAGGAATTGAACTTGAGGCTTCTATATGACAGGCAAGAATTATACCAATAGAGCATAGTCAAATCTATATCAAAATAGTGTCCTGTTGGAGGGAAAGGGAAGATAATTGAAACTGAGGATTCACAATCTTATGGCCATCCCTTAATCAATGTCACCTGCTCCTGTGAACGTGCCACCCAAATGTGGGAGCAGTGAGAGGAGAATCGTGCTCTGCACTGAACAGTGGATATGCATCCCATCACGGTGTCCTTTTTATTTGACTAGATTTTAACCAGGAGGGAGTTTTAGCCTCTACTATCTCTTTTTCACTTGTTCAAATGTACAGTCTTGCCTACTGACAATTTACTTACCTGAAACAACTTACTTTAATGTCCTGGGAAGAGGTAGAAACATTTAGTCAATGTCACCCGTTCAGTGGTAGGCATCTGAATTCTACTACCATTTGGTGCCTCAAATGAAAATCGGACCTAAAAGAGAATGACCGAAGTGAATGACCTTAAAAGAAAATCTATAGACATATATTTTTTCTGAGTAACAATTCTTTATTTACATGGGAACAGCTACAATGACTACAGCAAATTAAATGAATCAGAGTCATTGCACTTATAAAAATAATAGCAAGATACATTTCTAAACATAGAATATAGGCTCTTTAAATCTGTGATTGGATGTGGTAGTTATGGACACAGGCAAGTTGGATCCCACTCGTTTGCCTGTTCAGAATTGGAGGACAGTTAAAGTAATAGTTGTTTTCTAGCGATGGTGCATCACGGCAGGTTGGGTTTGGCATTCAGGTTTTCCACCCAGTAAAGATGCTCACAGTTCCTCTAGTTAGCAAGATGGGCATTACTGGAGGATAAACATGTCTACAACTGCTCGGTAGGTTTCCATAAAAGCAGAGTCAGAGAAGCATAGAGAGCCCACCTTTCGGAAAATTGTCTCCAGGTCAAAGGAGCAGGCATATTCTTGCAAGTGTTGGATAAGTTTCATAATAAAGACTGAGCCCAACAATGGATGTCTCCAAGAAACATTTTCTGTGAATAAAGCACATTCAAAGTCTCAGGAAAGACGCAGGCTTGGCCTAGAAAGCAGACCTGAACAGTTAGTTGCAGTCTAGCCGAGGCAGGCTCTCCAGTTCACCCTGTAGTCCATACACAAAATACCATTTTCCAAGGAATATGTCTATTCAAATTTCAGTGAGTAGAGTGTCTCAGAGGTCTTCTGTCCCTAAATATTTATGGGATAAAGAAAAAGCTTTCTATGCCCACAAAGATTTCTAGTCTCAGAAACCCAAAGAGACAATTCTCCCCAGTCTGATAGGGTCACGATGAGTTGGAGTTGACTAGGTAATTAAGTTTTTCTGCCACTCAATAATTGTTGAGGGAATTACATGTGATCTCCATAGGTAGTTGACTTCATGCCTGAGTTCAAAGAGCTACAAATATAGTAGAGGTGAGGGGAAAGCACAAAGGGGTTGCAGTTGTTAGTTGCCATTGAGTTGGCTCCAACTCATAGCGACCTATGCCCAACAGAAAGAAGCACAACTTGGTTCTACACCATCCTCACAATTGATCTTATGCTTGAGCCTAATTATTGGAGCCTGAGTGTCAATCCCTATTCTTGAGGGCCTTCCTCTTTTTTCCCCTTTTTTCTGCCCCTCTACTAACTAGGAGGTACTTCTCCAGGGACTGGTCTTTTCTGACAATTGATCCAAAGTATGCAAGATAAAATCGTGCCATCCTTGCCCTACGGGGCACGGTGACCACACTTCTCCAAAACAGACTTGTTTGTCCTTTTGGAAGGCCATAGTCCTTTCAGTATTCTCCTCCAGGACCACAGTTCAAACGCATTGATTCTTCTATGGTCAGTGTCAGACTTTCACATGCTTATGAGGCTATTGAAAATACCATGGCTGAGGTCATGCTCAGCTTAATCCTCAAAGAGGGTCGAAATGGGGATTGAAGGGAGAAATTCCTTAGAGTGGATTTCAACATGGCCAGTTACTGACTCTTATTTAAGTGAACAGGAGCCTGTGGAAGTCATGCTTTCCACTGTAACAAATGGGATAATGATTTTTGCCACAAATATATATTTGAGAATAAGATTCAGTGCAATGCAAGTGACCAGGAGAGGATAAATACCCATTTTAGACAGGGCTATTATATTAGTCACTTTCAAACATATACTTTATATAAAATAGCATTTAATCATAAGACATTTACAGAGCAAAAATGCTAACTATTTTGAAAATGGTACCATGTAAAAGAACATACAAACCCAGGTTGGATTAAAGGGGAAAACCCTATCTTAGTGAAGGACAGCAAGATCTTATAAAGCGGAGGAACAGTTAGGAATATATCAATTGTTGAATTGTTGAACCATGGAAGACATTTTTGACGTATTAAAATATATGTATAAGGGAAAAGAATAGCTGTTGCTGTGTACATGATTCGATATTAGTCTGTTAACTGTGAGGTCAGCATTGTGGAACCACAGCCCCTCCACTGGAAATAATGGATGCTTTCTACTCACATAAACACTTGTAGGTTCTCGCTCTCTCTCTCT